TGATACAGGCCATGGTTTTTGCAATCACTTGTTATGCATGAGAGAGTTGGACAATGACTAGGGAGGATAGAAGGAGAATTGATGCCTTTGAGCTGTGGTGCTGGAGAAGAGTCCTGAATGTACCATGGACTGCCAAGAAAACAAATAGATTCATCCTGAGAGGGTTAAACCAGGCTGCTCCTTGGAGGCAATGATTCTGGGTCTTCACCTGACATACTTTGGACATGTTGTAAGTAGAGACAGGTCTTTGGAGAGAGACATCATGCTGGGCTGAGTGGAGGGACAGCGCAGGAGCGGAAGACCCTCTATGAGGTTGATTGATTCAGTGATTGGGGTAATCAGGATGGATGTGTCAGAGGCAGTGAGATTGGCACAGGATAGAGCACGGTTTAGGGCTGTTTGTTGTACATAGGGTCTCTATGAGTCTCAAGCGACTCGACGGCACATAACAACAACAACAACTTTCTTCATGGTATTCTTGCTTTAAAAACACATATTTAGAAATATCAGGGTTTTAAATCTTTTTTGTTAAGTAGTTCACGAGCAAGAAATGCCATTATCTCTGCAAAACTGTTAGTAAATAGCAACTGTGACCACATTCTTGTCATAGGGTGAAAGACATCTCCCTCTCAATGCCACAGAAATATCACCACAGTGTGGACAACATTAGCACCTTCCATCTAAAATGTGAGCAGAAATGCACTCTTCCACCAATTCACACAGTCAGCTTTTCTTCTGTTAACTCTTCAGACACATATATTTTGTTATTGTATTGGCTACGTTTCATTCATAAGTGTTTCTGAGTGGGGGATATATGTTGCTATTACTTTTTTGTAAAGTCAGTTCCTACTTTTAGTGATTCCATGTATGTGGAGTGGAAGATACCTGCTACAGTTGTATGTCCTTTAGGAAACAGGTCAGTAGAACTTACATACCTTTTTTTCTAGGTACTTCTAGGTTCACTCCAATAATCAACTTTTAGGTTAGTAATGCCCCATTGTTTGAATCAGCTCTTAATTCCTCAAGAAATTAATTGGAAATCAAGAAATACTTTTTATTTTGTTTTTGTTGGTTGATAAAGTGTATGAAAAGCATTAATAAGAAGTAGATTATATTTTAATACACTATCTGTGGCTTAAATATCTTTTTCCCTTTTTCATTTGTGAACAATAACCTTTGTCATGTTATTACTGTGGTACTAATAATAATATGTTCTATTTTCCAGAAGTTACCAGTTTGCATTTTAGTTTTATAACATTCAGAAATTCAGAACTTCATAAAGATTTTAAGGAGAAATCTAATCAAGTTCTGAATCCATTTCTATTATAAACATCTCACTACTCCTTTAGACCCTCAATGTACAAATTTAGCTTTATTACCTCCAGGATATAATAAAATACTATAGACTATCTTGCTTCTTTTCACTTTACTTCGTTTCTGGAGGTAATTTTTTTCCTCCTAAGGCTGTTACAGAGTGCAAAGGGTTCTTTTCTCCAGTCAATTGCCCATAAGACAGACAGATTGCAATATCCATAAGTATTTTATTACAGATATGGTAGAAAGCAATGAGATCCTGCTCAAGAGACTCCCTCCTGTCTGGTAGTGGTCATTAGTCTTTTATACTAAGTTTAGATACTAACTTACTTTATAATGCATTTTTGTTAGTAAAATGAAAAAATTTCTACGTTTATAAAACCACAACACAATTCACATATAAGTACAAATAAACAGGTATCCTGATAAAATAGTTAACATATAACTGAGGAAAATAGGTTTTGAAAAGATAAAAGCTAATTCAGAAAAGACATACTTCCTTTCCTAATAAACAGGCAGATTAGGCTGATTAAAATATAGGTTACATATGACTGGGAAAAAGAATTTCAAAAAAGTTGCTGATCTAGGAAAGATGCATTTTCCCTCCTGTAAACTACTTTACGTGACTAAAGAAAAGAAATAAAGAATTCTAAGACAAAGTAAGTAGCTAGTTTTGTAGCCTGGAGAAAACTGATGTCAGTTTTATAACTATAGTTTTATAATACACACACACACACACACACACACACACACGTGTGTATATATGCATGTATATGTGTATATATGTATATATTTTTGTTTATATAAATATATTTAGAAGATTCTGAACTTATTAATGCTGCCCTATCAAGGCTTTTTCTCTCAAACCTTTACTACCTCATAAGCATTTATTTTTCCTAATGACAATATTTCTTTGGCAAATTTTTCCATTTTTTTATAACAAGTTAGATAAGCATAGAAAGCATAGTACTTCCCCACCTCTCTAAAAATATTAATTGGTACAAATTTAGATAATATCTTAATATTGACATACTACTCCAATGGATTAGTAAATATTTTATGATGTTCTGAATATCACATTGCAAAGTTACTAATTAATGGTAAGAGAGGGAATTTTAATCAGTGGAAAGGTATGAATAGAATAAAAGGGAATCTGCATTAAAATCGACCTTCTAGATCTCTCCCTTTTTTCCTACTTTAGTGAGATAATAACCTTGTTTTCTGCAAAGTTTCTACTCTTCTACTATTTCTAAAATTCTGGAAAAAAATAAACCACTCTCTTTACATAGAGACTTTTTTTTTCAGATTTTTGAGGCTCTATATAAAGATACATATTATTTTTAAAATTAGTCATTTAACTATCCTTGGGTTCTGATGACCTAGAGTGTAGAGAGTTGCACTGTCAACTCAAATACGGGTAGTTCATGACTATCAGCTTTTCCAGAGAAAAGAGATGAGAATCTTCTCCCATGCAATTTACAATCTCTTATAACCCACTGGAGGGACACCTATGCGTCTGCTCTGACTTGATGGTAATGAGTTTAAGGTTTTTGGCTTTGTTTTTCTTTCCATTTTTTCCTAACTCTTGGTAGCAGTGTTAAAAAAGTAATAATATCAATACTTACACCCAAAAATGTGTTGAATTTATATAAATTCTTCTAAGGGTTTTTTTAAGTGAATATATAGATATATATACTTATTACTCTTTATTTTTAGAAAATTCGTATTACCTTTAGGTAAGGAAGGCTTTTAAAAAATAAAATTAAAAAATTACAGATGTCTAAGAAAAAGAACAAAATTTACCATGATTAGCTATCGAAGCACAAAGAACAAAGGACTTGTCAGCTGGAATATTAATAAGAATACTTTATAAAGCTTACTGATTTGGTGGTAATGATGAATTCTGGATTGTTCAAACATATGATATAGTTGTAAAGCTGGCATCAGTTGCTTCCAGACTGCAAAGCTGCTTGTTTGCCTTAGAATCTGTTTTTCTTTCTTTAGTTATGTAAAGTGCTTTAAGCTGGCTATTTTCAGGAAAGAAAAAGCATCTTTCTTGCATTATTATTCACCTCTTTGAAATATTTTTTCTCAGTTGTATGCTATTTTTTCTTGATTAGCACTTATCTCTTTGAAGATGTTTTTTACAGTTATATATAATTTAATGAGAATTTATCTCTTTGAAGACATTTTTCTCAGTTACAAGTAACTGAATTACTGTCTCTTTGTAGATTTTTTTCAAGTTATATGTATTTGAGTTTGTATTTATCTCTTTGAAGATGTATTTCTCAGTCATATGTAAATTATATCATAATCTGTTTGCTAGGAACTGGAACACCTAACTCCAGCATAAAACCTAATGACTTTTCTCAGAGAAGCAGTTTTTGAGAAGGAAGTCATTGCTCTCCCAGATCTAAAATAAAGTGGTCTGGATATTGCAATTTATTTGTATTACTGACAATTGACTATGGCAAGAAGCCCTTTGCATTAAGTAACCATAAACAATTTTCCAACTCTCAGGTTACATTTGTAGTTCACACTTTAATTTCCCAAATTATATGTAATTTTAACCATCTAAGTTTCACATTTCTATTTCATGAGTCCAACTTTTCTGAGTGTCTTGTTTTCCTGCCTACTCTGCCTGAGTCAGACTATTGGTGATGTTGGGGTTAGCTGCCTTTAGTTATCTCTGACTCATAGTGATCTCATCATGTATAACAGATTCAAAACTCGCCAGATCCTGCATCATCTTCGTAGCCTTACTTTGCTTAAGTCTAGAGTACAGTCCTGCTAGCCCACATGACATAGATATGAATTAAAATGGATTCTATATTGGGTGCAAATAATTCATCTTTGTGAAAGAAACTTAAAAACAAATAAAAACTCATTGTCATTGAATTGACTATGACTCAGCAAGCCTGTAGAATGGAACAGTATGATAGTATGGGCCAATTTTTACAGGAGTACAATGCCCCATACCCTATAGATCACTGACCTATTATTGTCATTGACGTTATGTGCCCTTAAATTTGATCTGGGTCGTAGTTTACCCTCCAATAGGTTTTCAGAAGCTGTAAATCACACTGAAGGAGATTGCTTGTCTTTCTCTTGCCTCTTATTGTTTGTTGCCTTTGAGTTAGTTGCAGCTTACTATATATGTTGAATACTTTTTAGTGGGTTAGGTTGATAGTTGAGATCTTTTGTTTGATTCCTATGTCAATAGTGTCCTCTTCTGTCAAGATGGTAAAATGCAGCTTTTCTAATGTTTGGATTTTAGGGGTAAGAGAGGAAAATTTTGTTTTTATTGTAATTTTGCATAATCACATTTTTATTTTGCATTATATAAGTTTTATTTTGGTTCGTTTTTCCCTCTCCATAATTACACAACACTAAAAGAAGAAACAGATTTTAAATTTTTTTAAAAAATCAACAAAACAAGTATTCATGAAAAATGTGTTTATTACACTAGTTATACTTGTCACTAAAACTAAAGAAATTCTGGAATTACTAGGTGTTGGGAACTATCGTGATATTCTTCCCATCTCTCTGCAATGTTATGATCTGTATCCTCCCCTCAGAAACACTATGATCAATTTTTTGCCATGAAAAACAGAAATAATGGGAAAGAGAAATTGCTGCCAAAGAGGAGACAGAGTATAGTCTGGAATTTTATTAGGATGGAAACCTCATAATTTGTCTTGAGCATTCTTTTCACACATACACGAATAATATTTGCTGCAGTCATCAGTACCAATGGTGAGTGCATTTAAGTATGGGCACTTCTTTTTCATATCCACAGTTGACTCTGATAAATCCCTAAAGATGGAGAACACATTAGTCACTCTTATAGTGAGTGTGCTCTAATCAAAGAACATTACTGAATTTACTCTACGAAATTTAATATAGCAACTATTGTGACCAACACAGAGATATAAAGACACTGACACCATTTTCAGAGATATCACATATTTTAAAAAAATACAGACTTTGGCTATATTTATTGAATTATTAATATAATATATGATAAATTAAATATGAAAACACATGGTCATTGAGTCAGATCTGGCTCATAGCTAGCCCTCTAGAGGTTTCCTGAAGCTGCAGATCCCACAGGAAGAGATTGTCCATCTTTCTCCATTGGAGCCACTAATGGATACAAACCTCCAAAGAGGCACAGTCTTTGGGTAACAGCACAATCCCCTTCCGGCTTATTCAGGAAAAAGTCTAGACTTCTCCCATCATCTCCCACCACAACTCAAAAATCAAATATTGGTCAAAGTGCATTTATAATAGTATTCTTCCAATATTATTTTATTGCCAAAATTTTTAATCAATCAAATGATAAAAAATAGTTGCACACATAATACAATTTTAATGACTTTTTGAGTTATGAATTTTTTCACAAAATAATAAAAATAGCAAAACAAAAATCAAATAAATTTATACTATGTTCCCAGAAATTTTCTCAATTTCCTGAGTCTTTAAGTAATGCCATTAAGAAATAAATAAGGAATTACAAAACAACTATGAGATATCGTCTCAACCCAGTCTGAATAGCACATTAAAAGAACAGCAAGCAACAAATGCTGGTGAGGTTGTGGAGAAACTGGAACCCTTATTAACTGTTGGTGGGAGTGTAAAATGGTGCAACCACTGTGGAAGGAAGGATGGTGCTTTCTCAAAAAGTTGCAAATAGAGATACCATTTGGCTGAGCAATTCCACTGCTCGAATATACACCAAAGAGACCGTAACTGATACCAAAGAAGATATATTCACACCCATATTTATCATGGCTTTGTTCACAATAGCAAGGAGATGGAAACAACCCATCAACAAACGAATGAATAGAAAAGCTGTGGTATATTCACACGATGGAATCCTATGCTGCATTGAAAAACAAGGAACTCATGCAATATTATTTAAAATGGATGACCCTGGAGGACATTATGCTGAGTGAAGTATCTCAGTCAAAAAAGGACAAATACTGCCTAGTGCCACTGTTGTAAAACAGGACTGACATCAGTGGGGGGGACGGCGAGGGAGACTGAGAAATATGGGTTTAATAATGTTTACTGCATTGAAACAGATGAGGGAGAAAACATTTTAAAAGGGATATGTGATTAGTATTATTGTCATGACAGGAGTCCAGAGCGAAGTCTGTGTAGGGGAGTGACCTGGGGCGAAAGATTATAAAACTATGAAAGAATTTTACTTTTCCAAGAGAGTAGTGTATTGGGGGAGAGGGTTGGGAGGGAATAAAAGTGCTAGAATGAATTAATGAAAATCCAAAAGATCTGTAAATTTTCCTGGAAATTAATACTAAATTAAAAAAAAAGAATTAAATAAGGAACTAATTTAAAACTTTATACTTACGGGTCCAGAGATGACTTAGCGTCATCCTCCCAACTCAACTCCTTGTCCTCTTCCTTATTATGTTCTTCAAGCCAAGTATGACTTACTGAATATAACTTCAGGAAATTCTGAAAGAATTAAAGATACATAAACATGATTCTACGATATTAAAATTGTATTGCTGTAACTCTCTGATGCTTCATAGTGATGCTATGGACAATAGACTGGAAGCTTATCCTGTCCTGTACCATCCTCACATTCTCTGTAATACTCAAGCCCATTGTCACAGTCACTGTGTCAAGCAATCTCATTGAGAGTTAGGACTGAAAATGTCCTGCTTAGTCAAATGAAAAGTGAACATCAAACGTTTTATGTGTGTGTATGTGTGTGTGTCTGTGTGTATTTCTTCGTTCATAGAGTCGCTATGGTCACCTGCGACTCAACGGCACTTAACAACAACAACATATATATAATTTATTGCCTTCAATTTGAGTATGACTAATGGAGAACTTATGAACAAAAGTCTTGAAGCCTTTCTATGACTATTGACCTTTATAAAAGTTCATAGAGTTTATGGAGGCATGTTGTTTAGGAAGTGGATGTATACACACACACTGAGACTGATAAATTAAGTATGGAAAAATATTTCAGCACTGTGAAGTCTACATATTATTCAAACTGTCAACTAAATATGAAGAAAATTGACTGTCACTAATAGATTAATTTTAAAGAAGATAATATGCTACAATAGGAATAATTTTCTTTATTTACTTTCTGATTTAAGTATGTGCCAAACATTTTTTTATACTCAGTATATATCATTAAACAAAAAGTAGAAGAATTTTTCTAGTATTTGGGGTTGGTACAGATAAAATGAAATTGCATATGCAAATTATATGGTATGTTAGAAGATGACAGATGTTATATAAAAATGCATAGAACAGAAGAAGAGGGACTGAGAATTCAGGGAAGGGTGTCTCTGAGAGAATAGTAACATAAATGTTGCAGTATGTTTTCTGAGAAAGTGTTTTAAGAGTGTGGTAACTGGATAAATATTTGAAGAAGATTAAATAGTTAACCAAAGTTATGTTGTTATTGTTGTTGTTAGGTGACATCAAGTATAACCTGTAGCAACCCTATAAACAACAAATCTGAACTACGTTCTAGCCTGTACCATTTTCACACTTCCTGACACTCTAGAGCCCATTATGACAGTCACTGTGCCAATCTATATGCTGGAAGATCTTCCTCTCTTAAGTTGTCCCTCTACTTTTCTAAGCACCATATTCCTCTCCAAGGAATAGCACCTCTTAGCAACATACCCTAAATATGTGAGGTAAAGCCTTATTATCTTTGCCTCCAAAGAGCATACTGGCTGAATCATCTCCAAAACATACTTGTTTCTTCTTTTGGTAGATTCAGTACTCATCTCCAACACTACAGCTCAAAGGTTTCAATTCTTTTCTCACCCTTATTCATTGTCCAGCTCTCAGATACATAGCACATGATCAGAGGGACTATGGTCTGAATCAAACACACCTTAGTATTCAAACTAACATCATTACTCCTCAATAATTTGGAGAGGTCCCTAACTGCAGATGGTACTGGTGCAACATGCCTCCTGATTTCCTGTTAGCTGGTACCAAGGGTTTTAATTTTAGATTCAAGTAAGATGAGGGTGTTAACAGTTTTAATGTATAACCAATATTACATCTGAGGAAAAAGTACTGGATTGGATGGCGTGGCTTATAGGGTAGTCCTAGTAAATTCAGGATTATTCATACGTAAATTATAGTTGCAAAACTGACATCATCTGTCTCTAGCCTGTAAAACTGGTGGAATCATCTAATTAATATTTGCTTGGTTCTCACACTCTATTGTAACTTCTCCATAGTCATGCACAGTACCTTAAACTGTCAGTTTACTGGGAGGAAAAAATGCATCTTTCATTGACTTGGAATTGTCTTTTCTCAGTCATTTGTAAACTGTACCCCAAGTTGTGTGTTTACTAGAAACTGTATATAAGAATTGGAAAGTTTCCTTTTTCTCTATTATATTTTAACTGTATCTTAAGTTATGTGTTTACCAGGAGAGGAAAAGAAATGCCTCTTCTCTGGATTAGCATTTATGTCTTTGGAGATGTTATTTTTAGTCATATGTAAATGATATCACAAGTTGTCTGTTTACTAGTAACAGTAACTATAAACTGTTTTCTTTGAATAAAAAATATAAGTCCTGTGCCACTGAACTGTAGCCTTCAGTATGGACTGAGGCTCAATGTCAAGAAGACAAAGATTCTCACCACTGGACCAATTGGCAGTGTCTGGATGAATGGTGAAGAGATTGAGATTGTTCACAGCTTCAGTTTGCTCGGCTCCACAGTCAACACTCTCGGCACCAGCAATCAGGAAATCAAAAAGCGTATCGCGATGGGAAAGTCTGCTGTTAGGGACCTCTCTAAAGTACTCAGGAGCAACGGTGTCTCTCTGGAGACTAAGGTGTGCCTGATACAGGCCATGGTATTTGCAATCGCTTGCTATGCATCAGAGAGTTGGACAATGACTAGGGAGGAAAGAAGGAGAGTGGATGCTTTTGAGCTGTGGTGCTGGAGAAGAGTACTGGATGTACCATGGACTGCCAGGAAAACAAACAGATTCATCTTGGAGAGGATTAAAACAAGCTACTCCTTGGAGGCAAGGATTCTGGGGTTTCATCTGACATACTTTGGACACGTTGCCAGGAGGGACGGGTCCTTGGAGAGGGACATCATGCTTGGGAGGGTGGAGGGACAGCGCAGGAGGGGATGACCCTTTGTGAGATGGATTGATTCGGTGACTGGGGTAATCGGGATGGGTGTGTCAGAGGCAGTGCGGTTGGCGCAGAATTGAGCACGGTTTAGGGCTGTTGTGCACAGGGTCACTATGAGTCGCAAACGACTCGACGGCACATAACAACAACAACAACCACCACTGAACTAATAGTAGTAATTTGTTTACTAGATTAACATGGAGCCCATGTTAAAATCCAGTGACTGCTCTTAGAAGGGAGGCAGTTTTGAGATGATTCTCTTTGCATTTCCAGATATGCAATGAAGTGCTTTGGGTACTGCAGTCTGTCTTTGTGTTGATTATGGAAAGAACTCCTTCCATTCTGTAACATAATGATGGTAGTATGCCTGGTTTGCTGAGGGAAAAGAAAGGAGGATAATTTGCAAAGTGGGGTAAAGTTAAGTTAAAAACAAGAATGGAGCCAGGGAGGTCCCTAAGACTTTTGTAAACTCTAGATGAACCTTTCTTTCAACTGGTATACCCCATGTGGAGCTTTGGTGGTTCAGTGAAAGAATTCAAATCTCCCAGCTGTTTCACAGGAGAAAGATGAACAATCTGATAGCATATGATTTACTTTCTCTGTAAACCCAGTGGAGGGTCTGTTATGAGTTGCTTCTGACTGGATGGTACACAACAACTCCAGAATATGGAGTCTATACCTAAACCAAGAAACTGTTGTGTGAGCAGAACAATGCATGGTTTAAGATCAGAAACAGTGTACATGAGGGTGATATATTTCCTACATACCTATTTTATCTCTGTGCTGAACAAATAGCTTACAAAGCTAGATCTGTGGAGATCTGTGTGTGTCATCGTAACTGGAGGAAAACTCATCAATAACCGGTGTTATACTGATGATGCAACTATACTTGCTGACAATGATGCGAATATTAAATGTTTGCTGCAGAAGATTAAGAACTATAACATTCAGTATGGCTTACATATAAACATCAATTAAGACAAAGATCCTGGTCATAGGCTCAACAGCCAACATTATGATAGATGGAGAAAAGATTGAAGTTGTCAATAATTTCACATTGCTTGGATAAATAGTCAACACTCTTGCTGCTGCTGTTGTTGTTGTTATGTTCCAGAAAGTTGTTTATCTATGTACAACAGCTCCAAACTCTGTTCTATTTTGAACCAATTTCATTGTCTCCAACACACCTATCATCATTAACCCAGTCGCTGAATCAATCCATCTCATCCAATATCTTCCATTCTTGCACTTTTCCTCAACCTTTCCAAGCTTGATGTCCTTCTTCAAAGACTTGTCCCTCCTGGCAACATGCTCAAAGTATGTCAGAGGCAGCTTCAAAATCCTTACCTCTAAACAACAGCCTGCTTTCACAATTTTCAGGACAGACCTGTTTATTCTCTTGTTAGTCCATAGTTTATTCAACACTCTTCTCCAGGACCAAAACTCAAAGGTATTGATTCATCTTCGGTCATCCTTATTCACTTTCCAGCTCTCTCATGCATAGCAAGAAATTGTGAAGACCATGGCTTGGATCAGGTGCACCTTTGTCTCTAGACTGACTTCATTGCTCTTCAGTACTCTAGAGAGGTCCTTGACAGCAGATTTTCTCAATGCAATTCATCTTTTGATTCTCTGGCTGCTGATACCAAGAACACTCAGAAATTCAGATGACATATTGCATTGGGCAAGTCTGCCCAGAGATCTCTCAAAAATACTGAAGAGCCATAATATCAGTTTGAAGACTAAAATGCATCTGATTCAGGCAATAGACTTCTTAATTATCTGCTATGCATCAGAGATCTAGACAATGAATAACAGAAGAATAATTAATGCCTTAGAGTTATAGTGCTGAAGAAGAGCAATGAATATCCCATTGATTGCCAAAAGAACAAACAAATATGTCCTTAAAAGGGGGTGGCTTGAGTGCTTCTTGGAGACAAGGTTAATGAAGCTTTATTTTTCACACTTTAAACATGCAGCTAAACATGGTTATTCCTTGGAAAGGGACATCATGCTTGGAAAGATGGCGGGTCAGAGAAGGAGAGGAAGACCTTAAATGGGATGGATTAACATTATAACTTCTGCAATAGGTTCTAGTGTCTTGGAGATGATGAGGAAGACGCAGTGTAGGGTAGGTTTAGGGTTGGCTGTTCACAGGCTCTATGTGAGTCATACTGTATGACAACTAACAACAACATGGACTGCCAATGTCCCGTGGACTGCCAAAAGAATAAACACATATGTCATGGAAAGAGTGCAGTCATAGATCGCCTTAGGGCCAAAGATGATGAATCATCATCTCATATACTTCGGGCTATGTTATGAGAGTCTATTCCTTGGAAAATATTATCATGCTTGGAAAGCTGGAGGGTCTGTTAAATAGAGGAAGAGCTTCAATGAGATGACACTGTGGCTGCAAGCAATGGGCCTGAGTATGCCAGGGACTGTGAGGATGGCACTGGATAGGACAGAGTTCAGATCTGTTGTTCACAGGGAAACTATAAATAATATTCTAATCAATGGCACTTGACAACCACAACAACGGATTGTCAGAAGGAACTCTGATAGCTTACTGATAAGGAGCTGTGCTGTCAAGCCAAAAGGGCAATTTCAATCTGCCAGCTGCTCCATAGGAGAAAGATTGGCAATCATCTTTCGTGCAATTTATTACCTCTGAAAACACACTGGAGGGTCAGCTATGAGTTGGCTTCCATCCTCCAATTTGATGTTATCCAATAATAACAATAATGTAAACTGTCAGGAACAACAATGTAAACTGTCAGAGGAACAAACAAATCTATCTTCAAAGAAGTATAAAAAGAATATACTTTAAAGGTCAAGGTTGCAAAACTTAATTTTACATACAAGTCCCCCGAGAAGGACCTCATTCTTGATAAAGTAGAAGACCAGTGAAAAAGAAGAAAACCTCAATGAAATTTGTAGGCACAGTGGCTGCAACATTGTGAAGATGGGGCAGGACAAGGTGATATTTGATTCTGTTGTACACAGGATTACTATGAATCAGAGCCAACTTGACTACTAACTAGAATGACAACAGCAACAACAACAACAATAATAATAATGTGCAATCTTACCATTAAACTTGGGCTTCCTATTTTTAAAAACGTAGCATTGAAAGAGACACAAAGACTAGTACAGTTGAACCAAGTGACTTTTTTCCAGGTTTTGTGGTAGCAGGTATCTTTGTATTGAATCCAGTGATTCAGAGGAGATCCACACCTGTCTCCTAAGAAAGAAAATATTTATTATAAATTAGACCCCACAGACATACACTAACAATGTCTTATTGCTTCATAGCTTTTCCCTCCATGATAATGAGTCTGCTATTAAGAATTATTATTAGCTCAAACTGTCATCATTTGCAAATTACCTTGGTTAGCCTTGTTGAATTCTTGTAGAGCCTCAATGAGAAATATGTTCTGATTTCGGATTTGTTGTAGGGTTTCTATGCAGGACACCAAGACAACATTAGGAGAAGATAGACATTTTAGGTAGTTTTGATATTATTGAATTAAAGACAAAATAATAATGATGATCATGTTATAAGATATAAATATAATTTTATTTCCTTTTTCTTCCCAATTGAATTAGTCTAGTCTGGCTGGAACAATTAATAAAAAAGTTAGTCTTTTAACATTAAAAACCACTGAACCACCAACTCTGCCAGCTTTGTGTGAAACAAGGCAATAAAGGCTTCATTCTCTTAAAAACCAAAAAAACCCCCCCAAAAAAACCACTGAAGTACTCTAGCATGACTCAAGTGTTCAGTAAGGGCTCAGTATCTCAAGAGCAGAAGAATTCACAATGGAAAAGAACTTTGCACAATATTTATTTGATATTTTTAAAAAAAACATTATTTTTTTATAACAACTTCTGGCCAAAATGAAATTTTACAGCTACTCTGGTTTTTTAAATTTCCATCTAAAAGGTGCAAATAAAATATTATAAAAACATAATTAACTTTCAGATATTTAGCTGCTTCTATATCTTTCCTTCTTGAATATGTTACACGTTTCTTAATTATAGACCTTAATACTTTTGTTAATTTTTATATTTTTTTCTATAAGCCTCCTAAAGGATTGATTCATATACTGTGTATTCTTGATCACTGGCAGAGGGACTTCTTGCTGCTATGTGCCATCAAATCTCCTGTGACACATAGCAACACTATGAAGCTTGCCCTGTCCTGAGCCAGTCTTACTGATTCTGACATACCAATTCCCATTGCCCAAGTTATTGTATCAATCCATCTCATCTGGGCCTTCCTCTCCTGCACTGTCCCTCCACCATTCTGAGCATGATGTGCTTCTCCAAGGACTGATCCTTACTGGTCATATGCTGGAATATGTGAGACGGAGTTTCCAAATCTTTGCCTCCAAAGAGAAACTTGGTTTCACTCTCTCTCAGACAGACTTATTTGTTTTCTTGCAGTCCATGGTATGTTTGAGACTCTTCTCTAGAACCACAACTCGAAGGCATCAATTCTTCTTCTATCATCCTTAGTCATTGTCCAGCTCTCTGATATATAGCAAGTGATTGCAAAGACCATGGCCTGGATAAGGCACACCTTACTCTCCAGACTAACATTGTTGCTCTTCAGTACTCTGGAGAGGTCTCTGACAGCAGATTTTCCCCAGTGCAATATGTCTTTTGACTTCCTGACTGCTAGTGCTAAGCACGTTGTTTGTGAAAGCCAAGAAAGCTGTAACTGTTAACCTCAGGTTCCTCTCTATCTATCAGGGTGCTGCCAATTGGACCAGTAGTGAGAATCTTTGTTTTCTTGATGTTGATCTTCAATCTATATGGAACACTAGAGTCCTTGACCTTCTGCAGCAAGCACTTAAGGTCTTCCTCAGGGATTTGAATATATGAAATATTTAATAAATGGTAAGTAAATGAAAAATCAATATAACTAACACAAGGAGATACATTTACAGAACGTGAGATTCACTTTATTTCAAGAAATAACATGAATAACTAAAAGAGAAAAAAGTTAATTAAATGGCCATTATCTTGCATTAGTGAGCTCCCAATGCCACAGTATAACCATACATTTAAAACTAAAACAATAGCAAATAAAGCAATTTATTTTTTAAATGATAGAATGTTTTATTTTTTTACGGTACCTTTATTTTGGTCAAGAACCCTTTGGGCTTCAGTAAATATCTCTGATTTCTTTTGAAAAGACTCAATCCATTGATTAAGATTTTTCATCTTGCTCTCTGATGCCTGAAGACCTCGGAAGTCTATGAACAAGATTTCAAAACGTATATAGAGTACATGCTTATGATGAAAAAGTAACTAATTAGATTATAGGGTTTAATTGTATAGTTTATGTTTAGTAATTTTTTTCTGTTAATATTGCTCCCGAAATTATATACACATTAAACTATAATTTTATTTTATGCACCATTATTTCTAAATCTATGTTTCATTCTGAAATAAAATATAAATTACTCATGAGATGTTTAATTTAATAAATATAATTAAATCCAAAATAGATGACAACATCACAAAAAAAAACCAAAAGTCATCAAATCCTTTGGTATTATGTGTGGATGACTAAAACTTTTTTACTTAATTACATTAAAGATTTGTAATTTTTAAGTAAAACTTCAAAAATAATACCAATAGTGGGAAAAATTATGTTACTATGAAGCTGCTGGAGACTCATATTTTGAACACATTTCAAAAACAAATTATAATCTATATCAAAGAGCAGAGTGTTCAAATTAATTTAGCTAAATATCTAAATGAGTTGTAGTTTTAAACTGTGAATTATTATTCTCAATATCATGTCTATATATTTTATTCACAGAATTTCATTGGATAAAATGGTGAGTATTCTGAGTTTAAAAACTCAAATTCTTAGTAAAAGGCCATTATAGTTAAAACCTTTTTTCTCTTTTTCTCTGTTTGTTGTTACAGAAAACACTTGCAAAAATATGAGTACTTGAGATGTGATTATGGAATTCATAATGTGATAAATACATAAGACTTTTAGTATAACTCTCCCTTCAAATAATCAAACTTACATTGGTAACCAAAGAATCCACATAAAATCATGAGCAAAAGGCTGAAGACTCCAAGGATCACAGGAATTACTGCATACAAAGAATAGGTGGTAGAAGAGGCTATAAATCAGAAACAATGATATCAGAAAAAAATATAATCTTCTATTATTGTAAAGAATGCTAATATTATCTTCCATTGCACAATACTTTCAACCTATCCTATATTTTCTGAAAGAAAATATTTTGTGTGTTTAGTGAGAAGATAGGTAATGTTATTTTTAAGAAGATAGAAAATTGAGTACCTACCAATCTTAAAATGTTACTTAAAAGATTGACTTTTGTCATGTGTCTGGGAAACCCGTGTTGGGAAGACTACTACTATCATTAACTTATAAAAGTGGCTCATTAGACAAATGATATCATTTATGTTGAATACATATTTTTCTTCCAGCATCCTGAACTACCATATGTTCCAGGAATAAATGATTAGCTCCAAATCAATTGCCCCTGTGATTGTTGTGTTAGTGTACCTTCAAATAAGGACTGACTCATAATGACCTTCCAGTATTTGTTTTCCGAGGTTGTAAATTATGCAGGGAATTAATTGTAAATCTTTCTCCCAAAGAGCAGCAAGTGGATTCAAGCCTTGAGTGTTTGGGTTGGCAGCACAATTTGGTATCACTAAGCCTGTATGATTAGTCTCCATAAACACCTTGAGCACCGAATAGCTCCAGCAAACCTTTCCAGTTTGTAACATTCTGTACATGTTGAATGTTGTTATGTACTGAAGAGTTGGAACTGACTCATTGCTGAATCTCAAGCAGGTTTTAAGAGGCAAGAAAAGTACAAGAAAAGAAATTGATGGTCTTTCTCCGATAGAGCGACTGGTGAATGAAGTGTTTCCTATTTAACTTCGCTGGGAAATGTCCTTGGAAGCTTGTGTCTTATCTCTCCCAAACTGTATGAAATCTAATTCCTTTTGGTTACATGTGTATAGTGTCCTTTTATCTGTTACAAAATAGTTGTGACTATCATATGAGTCTCGACGTCTTGCCACCAAAATTGAGAATGGTCATAGACATAGGACATAGTGGAAACATTTCATTGTAAGATATCATTACTAATTCTTAAATACGAAGTACAACATTTCAATTCAGATTATAGAATCTCCACCAATATAAAGAGGAAATGCTTAATTATTTAAGTTTGTATTAGTAAGGCAGTGTTCCTCATCTAAGCCTAATGATGAATAGCATATCCTTCTCCATAGAAAGAATTATTGTAAAGGTCAGAAAATGTTTTAGTCATATTATTTTTGGTTTAGTATAAAGAATATTTTTCATTTCATAAAAGATAACTATTACATTTACACATAGATTTTAGAAATTAATATTACATTAGTTTGTTGAAATACATATTTCTTTCCAGAAATATATATGTATTATAAAATAGAATTTTTATATATAAATACACACATGTCTGTGTATCCATAAATATATATTTGCTGTTATGTACCATTTGGAGCTCTGGTAAGAAGCTGCACTGTAATCCCTAGGGCAGGCAGTTCAAATCCACCAGTTGTTTGCAGGAGAAGAATGGGCAATCTCCTTCCTTGCAATTAACTGCCTCTGAAAACCAGTCAGTGGATTAGTTATTGGTTTGTTTCCACTCAATGGTACATAACAACAACAATGTATCATTGAGTCAGAATGACTCATAGTTAATTCTTTAGAAGATTTTCCAGAGTCAATAAATCACACAGGAAAAGAGGAGATTGTCTGTTATTTTCCCACAGAGTGGCTGGTGAGTTAGAACTGCATAATATACTGAGATATATATACACACACATATATATGCTGTTAACAACAACACATATGTATATATGTGTATATATATACAGATATGTGTGTATGCTTGTGTATGTTTTTTGTACATGTATGTATCTATTTCATTGCTGTTAAGTCAGGACTGATCCATAGTTGACCCTTCAGTGTGTTTTCGAAGGCTGTAAATTACATAGAAAAAGGTTGCCCATCCTTTTATCGCAGAGTAGGTGGTGAACTTTTTTATTTGAACCAATTGAAATATGTGGGTTGGCAATTTCTTGTGTTATATATAGCTATCTCTCTATATCTCTATCTCTTTATACATATTGTGTGTGCATATGTGTATATGTGTGTGTATGTGCATGCAAATGTATACATGTATATATGTGTTTGTGTATATATGTAGACACATATGTGTGTATATATGTGTGTATATGTGTATATATGCTTATAAACATATATATGCATATAAGAATATATATAAATATTCTTGTTAAAAAATAACTTATGTTTAAGAAGGATTGCATATTTAAATATTTAAATAAAGTGAAAATAGTCCATCTAAACATTTCTTTAACTTTTCTGGATTATAATGTAATCAAGCAAAAGCAGTACTTTTGCTGCTCTTTGCACTCTCTCAAAGGACATATGGCAATGCTCAGAAGTACTTTTCATTATGGGACACTACTGGTATCTAGTGAGTGTATGTTCAAGATGCAGCCAAACATTCTACAATAGGCACAAAAAAGAATAGTTCAACACAGGACACAAATAATCCCAAAGCTGAAAAGTCCTGCTCTAATATAAATATTTTTCATTTTTATTATGATGAAAAGAAGACAAACATATATTGTTCAAACTTCTGTTGCCTATTTTACAAGTTTGCTGAATTGTATAGGCATATCTAAATTGCTCTAATACCCTTCTATACATTACTTACAATATAAAATTTGAAGCATTTTTGTGCAGAAAAGTGTTTTTGTTTTATTTCTCAATTGTTGTTGTGATTGCCTTTAAGTGAAGCACAACTCATAGCGACGCTATGAACAAAAGGCCTGAAGTCCCTCTATAACTATCGACATATATCAAAGTTCATAGAGTTTCCAGAGGACGTTGTTTAGGAAATGGATGTCACTCCCGTTTCCAATATGTATGGAAAATATTCCAATTTTATATTTTCTGTAATAATTAGAATACCCAAATCTAAAATACAAACTTTACAGAATAGTAAATCAGAGAAAAACATAAATGACTACAGTGTGGTATGGATAATTTACCTCTTGTGTTTGTGTTTTCAGGACTTGGTTCCCACTCATCTTCTGTAGGAGGCGGAGGAGGAAGGGCAAGTGGTGTTTCTACATCTTCAATAGTGATTGTTTCTGCCTGCTCTGTGATTACTTCCAGAACAGAAATTATATAATTATTTTATAAGATGATAAATGTATGATAGCTTGATTTAATAGATTCATTTGTCAATGCAAATAGAGTAGTAGCAATTTTTTTTTACTGAGACCAATGCTCTCCAATGCATTTTGAGAGACATTAAATCACTTGACGGTGAGATTATTTATTTTTTTTACTACAGAGCAGCTGGTGTATTCGAACTATGTGTTTTCAGGTTGACATCCTAAGTATCACTAGTAGTAGCAATAGTGGTTGTTTTTAAGGAAAGAACATTTAAATCATCTTTGTATACAAAATATCATCTGGTCCTTGTAAAAATATTTAAATGGCTCAATTATACTTTTTAATTTATCCATAAAGCAATTTTTTCCTGTTAATTAATTTTAAAGTACTATGTTTCTGAGAAACATTAAGGAAAATTTAGGACATTTATAACAGTACTCCAGCCAATCACTAAAATAACTAAAAATAATTTAAAAATTTGCTGCCTTTAAATTATATATTTGGAATTTAAAAAATAGTACCTGGTGGTTGTTCAGAGTCTGAAGAATTTGACATTTTGAAGGTCTTTCAATGATTTTTGTCCCAAAGTTGAAGAGGAGTCCACTAGAGAGTCAATAGGAGAATGAAGAGACACTTCCGCATGCTATTCTCCTAGGCTTGATATGAAGTCCAAAGATAGATTAAGGTGGGGCAGCTACTAACAAGTGTATAATACTAACTTGCTTTGATAAAAAGCCACAGGAAAACTGTGCATCAATAGAAGTAATTTATTCCTACTAAGTTTTGCTCTTGTTGTTTTTAGGTGCCGTCGAGTTGCTTGCAATTCATAGCGTCCCTAAATATACAAAAGCAAAAATTGACTCCACTTAGAGAAATTTTTGTCCTGACTTAGTTAAAATGTACAACAGACCTTTCAATAGCAGTTGGCATGCACAGAGTGAATTTCAACATTCTAGAATTGAAAACTTTAATCAGCAAATGCCCTCAACATAAAAAAAAATGTATATAGTCTAGAAATGCAATTCTCATAAATATGTAGAGTAGAAAAACATAAGTATATGGGAAGTGAGAAAGTAGACTATTAGAGAAACAAGAAAATAAATAATAGTAAATTGAAGAGAATCTCTTTAAAATGATTCATTTAAATAGAAACCTATATGAAATGGTAATTTAAAGTGCAAATGAGAAGTAAAAATTAATCTATGCATATACTGACATTGTTCGGCTTAAAGTTACTTGGTTACTTGGTTTCTGCTCCTCTTCAAATAAAAATAATCTTTACTCATAACAGTATGTTTGGGTAACCACTAGCAGTCTATCTTTGCTACTTGTTTTATTTAGTACCACAGAACTTAACATTTGTAGTGTATAGAAATAGATATTTTACATCAATAAAAATAGACATATAGACTGTCTCTTGCTAGGGTTATAACCTCATAGAATTTATATATATTTGAGCCAATCAGGTTGAAACCACAGAGGACAATTTAGAAATGGTAAGTTATCTTAAATTATCCATCTTTCCACACCCAGTACACAAAAGTTGATCTCATAGAAATATTCCTAAAACATATATCATATTCAGTTTTTCAGTATATGAAAAAAGGCAAACTGACTACAGAAAATGGTTATTTACACAAAGATCTCAGAAAAATGAGAAATGATAAAAACAGAGAGTCTAGGATATTAAGTATAATTTTATAATTTAATAGATATAATTATATCAAACAAAATTTATTTTACTATAACTTATTACAGTGATATTTGCCTTCTTATTCTAAATTGTAATGTCATGATTATTTGTTTTAAAGATGTATTGGACCAGAGTTAAGAAAGCAATAAAATAAAGATCTAATGTTAATGAATGATTTTCATTTATATTCAGCAAATGTTAAAAATTGCAATCTAGAAAAAGTTATCATTTTATTCAAAGATCTATTCTGCATTGTTGTTGTTGTGTACCATTGAGTTGGAACCAACTCATAGCTGACCCTCCAGTAGGATTTCAGGGCAGTAAATTGTAAGGGATGAGATTGCTCATATTTTTAATAGAACCATGTGCCTTTGGACTGGCAGTGCAAGTCCTTACCAGTAGGCCACCAGAGCTCCAGTGAAATAAAATCATTATATTATTGTTGTTTTTAGGTGCTATTGGGTTGACTATGACCCATAGTTATCAACAGATCTCCACCTTACTTTTTTTGGCCTGGATTTCAAAATCTCTCTTATGCCTGAGCCCATTGTTATGGTAACTGTATCACTGTAAAAATGTCCACCTTGCTGAGGGTCATCTTTTTCTCTGATCGTCCACCTTTCCCATAATGATGTCTTTTCCCAAGTGCTGATCTTTCCTAACAACATGCCCAAAGTATATTAGACCAAGTTTCATCATCTGCTGCTGAAAAGCACTCACTCAGGTTGCACTTTCTCTAAAACAAATTATTCTTTTGGCTGTCCATGGGATATTCAGTCTCCTCTATAACACCACAAGTCAAAGGCATTGACTCTTCTTCTGTCATCCTTAGTCATTGTCCAACTTTCATATGTATACGAAACAACTAAAAATACTATGGACTGGGTCAGGCACACCTTAGTTGTTTTTTAAAAAATTATTTTATTTTATTAATTTTAATGAATATTTACAGAGATTTTGGATTTCCATTCATTCATTGTTGCACTTTTCTCCCTGTACTCCCTCACCCCCAGTTCACTCCTCTCTTTGAAAAGTAAAATGAAAATTCCTTCATTAGTATGCAATCCACCACCCCCCGCCCCACCCTGAGTACACTCCACTATACAGCCTGAATTCTGGACTTTTGTGATAACCATAATACCCTTAGTTTTTACACTGTCATATTTGCCCTTTAACACTTTAGAAAGGTCCTTGACAGTAGATTTCCCAATGAAATAAATCTTTTGATTTCTAGGCCACTATTCCTATTAATTGTATTCCAACCAAACTTAAAAAGTTGACAGCTTCAATCTTTTCTCCATTTATCAAGATGTAATGTATTGGTCCAGTGGTTAAGACATTGCTTTCTTCATGTTAAGCTGTGATTTGTATTGAAGATTGTAGTCTTTAATCTTCTGTAGTAAGTATTTTAATCTTCTTCACTTCTGGCAATTAAGGTTGGACTGTCCACATAACATAGAGCATTGATGAGATTTCCCACAATCCTGATGCCACATTCTTTTTTTTAATCCTATATACCAGATCTTCAGTAATTTTCTCAGCATACAGATTGAATAGGTATGGAGAAAGGATATAATCATGGCTGATACCTCTCCTGATTTTAAACCAAGCCATACTACCTTGTTCTATAATACAGTTGCTTCTTGGTCTATACGTAGGTTTTGAAAGAGCACAATTAAATGTTGTGGGTTTCCCTTCTATCTGAAAGTTAGACATAATTTGTTATGACCCACACTATCAACTTCCTTTGTAAAGCTAATGAAATACAAACAAAAATCTTTCTGGTAATCTCTGCTTTCAACCAAGATCTTTTTCACAACAATGTTATTCCTGGTTCTACTGACTGTGCTGAATGCAGTATAAATTTCTGCAAATGCAATTTTCCAGTAATTATTCAATAATTTCAGCAAAATTTTAATTTCATGTGTAATCAGCAATATTATCTAATAATTTCCACATTCTGTTGGATTACCGTTTTTTGGAATGGGAAAAAAAAATGAATCTCTTCCAGTCGATTACTGAGGCAATTGTCTTCCATATATTTTGCAATTGACTGGTTAGTACTTTCAGGGCTGCATCTGATTGCTGAAATATTTTAATTGGTATCCCATCAATTCCTGGGGCTTATTTTTTCCTTTTTCCCAGTGTCGTCAGAGTAGATAGAACTTCTCCCTTCATTACCATTGATTCTTGATCATATGTTACTTCCTGAAATATTTCAGCAGCAATGAACTTTTTTCAATATTATGATGTCATATATTACTTTCTTCTTTTTTTTATGCTTCCTTTGTTATTCAATATTTTACCCATATAATCTTTCAATGCTACAACTGAAGGCATGAAATTTTTATTTAGGTCTTTCAGCCTTAGGAATATTGAGTATGTTCTTTCCCTTTGGTCTTTTAACTCTAGCTCTTTACACGTTTCATTATAATAGTTTGTTTTATCTTTTGAGCCATTCTTTGAAACCTTGTGTTTATCCCTCTTACTTCAGTATTTTCCTCTTTGTTTAGACCTCATTATAATATATAGCCTAGTGTTCCATCAAATTGGAATCACTCATAGCTGGCCCTTCATCAGGTTTTCGGAGTCAGTAAATCACACAGGAGAAGATTGTCGATCTTCCCACAGAACAGCTGGTGGATTTGAATCACGTGCCATTAGGATTGAAGTGCAATTTCTTATCACAAGGCCACCAAAGCTCCGTTATTATATGTTTATCCTTCTTTACACTGGGATCCTTTTTGTATGGGTTGGCCTAGTGACAAGAGGTTGCACTGCAATCCCAAAGGCACACAGTTATTAGAATACCCTTCTGCTCCACGAGAGAACGACAGACCTACAGACGATCCCCTCTCATGTGATTTACTACCTATAAAAACCCACCATTGGATTAGCTAGATTCCAACTCAGTGGTAAACAACAACAACAACTAGGTATTTAAAGGAGAAAATTATAAATTAGCTGGAAGATGTATATTACATGTATTTATTAAGATAAAAGTGATGTTCTATTGCCATTAACACTACCATACCAAATAAGTTCAAAATAATTAAGAATAAAAGGGAAATTAAGACAAAAAGAAAAATACAATATAAAAGAAAACAAATTAAAGTTATGTATGTATGCAAATGTGCTTATATTAATCAATATGAGTGTGGAACATTGTTTAGATTGGCAATAATCAGCTGATATGACCAAAAGGGAGATTAAATTATTAATAATTTTTGCTTTGTTGTTCAGGCTCATATCATATTCATATATTATATTTATCAGTCGTTAGTAATTCTCATTTTAACACAAAGAAACAAGTCCAATTTTAGTAAAATATTTATCTAAGATAATGATAATATTATATTTAAGAATCAGAAATATTATAAATAGTGTATATCCATAATTTAACTACTTAAGTTCAACATCAAGAAAACAAAAATTCTCAGTACTGGGCCAATGGGCAGCACCGTGATAGATGGAGTTGTTAAAAATTACAATCTGCTTGGCTCTACAATCAGCTCTCTTGGCACCAGCTGCTAGGAAATCACAATGAACTGCATTGGGGAAAATCTGCTGTTAGGGACTTCTCCAGAATATTGAGAAACAACAATGTCAGTCTAGAGACAGAAGTGTTCCTGATACAGGCCATATTCTTTGCAATCACTTGCTATGCATCAGAGGTTGGACAATGACTAATGATGACAGAAGAATCAATGTCTTTGAATTATGGTGCTGGAGAAGAGTCCTGAACAATGCATGGCCCACCCAGAAAACAAATATGTCTGTCTTGGAAAAGGTGAAACCAAGTTTTTCCTTGAAGGCTAGGATTTTAAAGCCTCGCCTCACATGCTTTGTGCACATGGCCAGG